GAGAGAGAGAGAGAGAGAGAGGGAGGGAGGGAGGGAGGGAGGGAGGGAGGGAGGGAGAGAGAGAGAGATGATAGATAGATAGATAGATAGATAGATAGAGAGAGAGAGACAGACAGACAGACAGACAGAGAGACAGACATATAGATATAGATATAGATTAGATAGATAGATAGATAGATAGATAGATTACATTAGATTAATAGATAGAGATCGATATCTATATCTATATATATCTCTTTCTTTCTTTCTTTCTTTCTTTCTTTCTTTCTTTCTTTCTTTCTTTCTTTCTTTCTTTCTTTCTTTCTTTCTTTCTTTCTTTCTTTTCCAGGGAAGATAAGGAAAAGAAAAGGAAAATATACCTTTAAGCCAAAAGTAGAAGGGAAATAGTTGCTTTTGCCCCCCCAATCTTGGGTGTTTACAGGAAAATTGTCATGAGAACCCCCTGAAAAGAGTCACCTGAACAGGTAGATTCTGGTGAGAATGACGAGTTGGCAAAAATGAACCAACCAAACCCCCGTCGTTGGATTTCTTTCCCCCCGCCTCCCCCACAACAAAATCAAAACCCAAATGCTTTTGCTCTTTAAAAACGACGTGGAAAACTTAAGGGTTGCCAAGGAAAGGATTTCATCCCTCCCAGCCTTTCTAATTTTCTCCCCCCTCCTTCTTTTTGGCAGCTCAGAAAGCTGAAGAGAAGAGCTACCGACATCGCGATGAGAGTCCCTCGACCTCGTATCACAGGAAGACCTCCAGCAGCAAAACCTCCCGGGAGAAATTGAGAGGAAAAGGTAAGAGAGCCAGCATCTCTTCCTCAGAAAACCCCAAATATAATCAGTCTCTCCTCTCTTTCTCTGAAGCTTTGGAACAGAATGGGCATTTAAAAAAAATAAAAAATCATTTTCTATCTCCATCCTCTCACCTGTGCATGGAGGAATAATTTATACAAGCTATAGATAAGCTGAATTATGTTGACTTTATAGATTCTTTTATTATGCTCAAATAAACAAAATAAACATCTCCTTTAGAGGAGATGAAAATTAGGGGGTGGGAAAGGCCTAGTTGTTTTTTTTCATTCAAAATCAACGACAGACCTCAATGTTGCATAGCAATCATTGAAAACACAGGGGCTTGGTTGGCATGAGTCACACAAACAAGGATCCAGACAGTATAAACTAGCATGTAGTTCTGCCAGGTAGACCTATTACCACCTAAGATTTTTAGCCTAAGACAAGGCTCTTCAAATTTGGCCAGTTTAAGGCTTGTGGACTTCAACTCCCAGAATTCCTGAGCAAACATGACTGGAGGAGGAAT